CGTCCTGAGCTCAGCCAAGGGTCAGCACCGGCCTGTGCTCCTGGACAGCGGCGGCGGCGGCGATTCCAGCGCCTCTCGCCACTCACTATGCCCCATGTCAGCGACATTTCACAGCGGGCTGCGTTATGTCGAATGTGGTTACATTTTAAAAAATTTCTATTATGGAAATTCCTTGGATAGAATTTAAATGATAAATGACCACAGTCATCACTACCACTGTCTTGTAACAACAACATATTTACTGCGATGACGCCTCGGGCAATAGCCCGACTTCAGGGCAGAACAGAGCAGATAGCAGAGAGCCTGACTGACTTTTCAGCTGGCAATCACGCTTCACATCGTGGGGTCCTGATAATATCGGTAATTGTTTCAAAAGTTGAAACGTATAAATGCATGGGCTTGCAATTAATTTCGGAAAGGCAGCGCGTTCGAAATAATTAATAGCCTTGACTTAAAGCTTTCGTGACTGCCGGAATTTATATTCTTTTACCGAAAGACCCAAAGAATATTCAATAGCCTCTCTTGAAAATGCGTAACTTGGGGGTTTTCCCAAACCTTTTGCAAGTAGTCATTCAAACAGAAGAAAACCAGAAGACCTGAGAAAACCAATTGATGGAAAACCCACATATACATTGTACAAATCAATAAACTCATAATCAGAATCTTTCTTTAGACTGGGGGAATCCGATTAGCTATTAAGCTCTTTTTCGCAGAGGTCCATTAAGCTGCCTCGCTACCCCTGCAACCGTGAACGAAAGCCTCCGTGTTCAACTGAACAGCGACGTCTTCCCTGGTGATGGATTCCAGGTGTGCACTGCGAACAGCGACACTGCAAGGCGAATACAAATTGAGAAGTTCGTGCGTATTCACGGTGTCGAGCAAAACGATCCACCCCGACGAGCGCTCGCACCAACCACGCTCAACCGGTTGCTCGTCCTCGCCAGCACCACACTCGGTCAATAATTATCAACAATCCTAACTAGCCAACTATAAACTGGCTATAAATATGACCACACTAACCCATGCAGCACTCTACCTGCACGCGCTTCGCAGTCTGTCCCCTTACCCTATCCCCCGAGGCTCTTAACCCCTCAACAAACTTCACTCTCGGTCTACCCCTGGTCTGCGCATCATCATCATCATCACTAACCCGTGCAGATTACAAAAGCAACGCGCAAACTTGACCTGCGCAGAGACCTCGCAGTGTGCGCAATGCCCCTCCATGCTCGGGTCATCCCTGGGTCTTTCCCCCCCAGCCATCTACTGCCCGCCTCCCCAGTAGCCTCCTCTCTGGAGGCTTGAGGGGGGAGGGGAGGCGGGCAGGAAGAAATAAAACCCCCGAACTGCAGGCGACGGGAGAGGATTCAAAGCAAATGGCGACACCGCGGTCGTCTGGCTCTAATTTCCCGCTCGGGGTTGATGCACGGAAGGTCGGGCCCCGGGCCGCTCTCCGTCTGCCCCGGACTTTCCCTCTCCGTGTGCCATCGGTCAGCGGGTGGCCACGGGGTCACCGCAGACGCGCGGGCGCTCGCGGGTCGAACTACAGCGACGACTCCGACGACTGCGACGACGACCCCGACGACGACCCCGACGACGACCCCGACGTGCCCACGGACTGTGGCTCTCGTGCATCTCGCGCGTTTGCCTCGCGGTGCAAAGCGGCGCTGTGGCTCGGCATACAGTTTCACAAAGGGGACATTTTTTGTCAATAAAAATAATTTGAATTGACAATGTATTTCAAGAAGTCATGCTGACAAAATTATTATAATCCAGTTACATTCCCGAGTCTAGGATGCTCTTTTATTGAACACACATTCATGCAACGTGTGCTGTGTGTACACATTATTTATGCCTTTAGCAATGTTTCTCACAGTCCGGCCGTGTGGCTCAGCGGTAGAACGAGCGGCTCCCATCCAGAAGGTTGCGAGTTCACATCCTGTTTGGGGAGTTGACTCAGCCCATCATCCCTTTGGGATCGATAAAGTGAACATCACCTTGTGAGGAAGTTAACACGGATAGTCTCATATTATTTGGGTCTTTCGGTAAAGTCACGTAGATAGGTTCAAATTAATGATGACGATCGCTTGTGCTGTGACCGAAACGTCGTAGTTTCTTGTTATTAATTTGAACCTATCTACGTGACTTTACCGAACGACCCAAAGAATATGAATTCCTGCAGTCACGAAAGCTTCAAGACACGGATAGACTCGTCTCTGCCACAGGAACGTGAAACTTTCACCACAGACCCAGGGCTGTAAACAGGCAACTATCACCGTCTCAGTAATCATTTGAGCAAGACATCACTTTGACTTAAAATACGATTTTAAAAAATCCCTGCAATCTACAGCAATAGTTAGGAGAGCATTTTATAATCCTGTATGTGTGGGCGCCCCGTTTTGTATAATTTTATGGACACTGATAAGAGGTTTGGGCTGCATGTTACTTGTTCAACCCCCATAACCCAGACAGTATGGGGAGGCCCTCATCCAGCAGTGGAGTGACGGAACGTGCCATACGTCAGCTCTTCTGGCATCCGTGTTTAGGGTTAGGCTCAGTGTAAGGTGAGGGCGAAGGCTAAGGCTATGGGTAGTTTGGGGGGTAGTGTGTTTGTCAGGCTTAGTGTTAGGGTAAGGGTTAGAGGGAGAGTTTTAAATAGGGTCAGTGATAGGGTCAATATTATGGGTAGTGTTGGTTTTAGGCATAGTATTATGGCTAAGTTAAGTGCTAGCATTCGTGTGTTTGGGTTTGGGTTATTGTTTAAGTCCGTGTTAGTGTAAGGGTTAGTGTTCAGATTGAGTTAAGAGTTGAGGTGAGGATTAGTCTTAGGGTAGTAATGAGGCTCAGAATTAGCGTTGTGAATGTATATGGTGATCATGTACTGTACGTTGAACCTCTTTTGCACCGTACGTAGCCAACGTGCTAATGATTTGCATGTAATAATTATTTAGACAGCATTGTAGTCTGCAAGTGCCATTGACTATAATGATTATGACACACACACACACTCACACACTCACACACACACTCACACACTCACACACTCACACACACACTCACACACACACACTCACACACACACTCACACACTCACACACTCACTCACACCCTCACTCACTCACACACTCACTCACACACTTACTCACTCACACACACCTCACTCACTCACACACTCATACACCCTCTCACACTCACACACACACTCACACCCTCACTCACTCACTCACACACTCACACCCTCACTCACTCACACAATCACACACACTCACACACTCACTCGCACACAACTCACTCACTCACACACTCACACACACTCTCACACTCACTCACACACTCACTCACTCACACCCTCACTCACTCACTCACACACTCACACCCTCACTCACTCACACACTCACACACACTCACTCACACACTCACTCGCACACAACTCACTCACTCACACACTCACACACACTCTCACACTCACTCACACACTCACTCACTCACACTCACACACTCACACACTCACTCACTCACACACTCACTCACACCCTCACTCACTCACTCACACACTCACTCACTCACACACACCTCACTCACTCACACACTCAAACACACCCTCACTCACTCGCTCACACACACCTCACTCACACCTTCACTCACTCACTCTCACACATACTCACTCACACCTCACTCACACACTCACTCACACACTCACACACACCACTCACACACACCCTCACTCACTCACTCACACACTCACTCACACACTCACACACACCACTCACACACACACCCTCACTCACTCACACACTCACACACACACTCACTCACTCACACACACCTCACTCGCTCATACACACACACATACTCACTCACACCCTCACTCACACACTCACACCCTGACTCACAACACCCTCACTCACCCTCACTCACCCACCCTCACTCACTCACACACTCACACCCTCACTCACACACCCTCACTCACCCTCACTCACTCACACACTCACACACACACTCACTCACACCCTCACTCACTCACACACTCACACCCTCACTCACACACACTCACTCACCCTCACTCACTGACCCACACGGTGTCCGCAGGCGCTGCCGACACGTCACTGGGCGCGTGCAGTGACGGCAGGATGGGTAGGAAGCGGACGACTTTCAAGAACACATTTGTGCGGAGCAAATCTCTGTAATCCAATCGACTTGGCAGAGATAAACCTGCGACTGGAGCATCAAGATGTTAAGCCGGGCCGATTATTTAATGTAAGCGGAGTTCAGGGGGTGACTATGAACCTGATCTCACAAACGGAAAGCCATACAAGATTTTGTTACACACTTCACTTGCCCGGCATTTCATTAGCACGCTTTTTGTTGTCCACACAGCGCTGAATGCATCACTATCACATTGTCAATTGCCCAGACGTTTAGCAAACAGTGCGTGTGTGCATCCTGCTGAGTGGCAGCGTGGTCAGAGCATTGGACTCACGGTTGCAAGATTGTGATTTAAAATTCTGGATGGAGATCGACTCAACCCAGCATCCCCCTGGCGTTAACAACACGAGTACCACTTTGTGAGATATCCACGGTGTTTGGCCGATAGATAAACCGGCTCCTGTGATCGGAATGTGCAATTGAATTCCTGGCTTCGGGCTGCCAATATCAATTAACATTGATCCAATGCCTATTTTGACTTGATTGAAAGCTAATTTGAATTACCATTTTATTGAATGTCCACATATAAAGCCCAGTTCGCTATTTTGTATTCAAAGTGGTATCCCGCTCCAATGAGCACCGACGCAGCGCTTATTTACTGTTTTACAGCCCTGAGTCAGTGATGGAAATTCCTCATTCCTATGACAGGGCCGAGTCTACCCTTATAACTATTTTGTATTATACGCAGCGATATACGAATTCGTACGTGTATTTAATTCTACACATGTGCAAGTGAGGAAGCACTAATGAAATAACCTCGGTATTGCATTCACGTGAGTAAACAAACACAGCACGTGCACAGAAAATACTTGTATTGCATCCAAGTGAGTAAACAAACACCGCACGTGCACAGCTTCTACTCGTGGACGCGATGCGCAGGCTCGGTGTGCACACGACGCGAAACGTCGGCTGGACACGGGGAGGCTTTCGCGACCGATATCATCCGTATATATTGTGTGAGTGTAACGCGTATTGTAACGTGTGAGTGTAACGTGGAGTGTGTGAGTGTAACGTGGAGTGTGTGAGTGTAACGTGTGAGTGTGTGAGTGTGTGAGTGTAACGTGTATTGTAACGTGGAGTGTGTGAGTGTAACGTGTGAGTGAGTGAGTGTAACGTGGAGTGTGTGAGTGTAACGTGTGAGTATGTGAGTGTGTGAGTGTAACGTGGAGTGTGTGAATGTAACGTGGAGTGTGTGAGTGTAACGTGTGAGTGTGTGAGTGTAACGTGTGAGTGTGAGAGTGTGTGAGTGTAACGTGGAGTGTGTGAGTGTAACGTGTGAGTGTGTCAGTGTAACGGCACTTTGTCCTGCACATCGTTGCACCCTCCGCGGTTGCCGGGACAAGAGGAGGAGGCTCACGTCGCTGCGTAAGTGAAGTGCGTGAAACCGCGCGGGAGAACTGCGGGGAGGGGCAGGGGGGGAGGGGCAGGGGGGGAGGGGCAGGGGGGGCTGCAGACGAAGCGTCTGGGGAGAGAGAGAGATGGGAGATGGGAGAGAGTGTCTCTGCTGACAGCTCAAGCATCGGTGATGGATGACACATCAGCATGCGCGAGTTTTTCAACCTCTCCTTAGACTTGCACGCACGCACATTGTGTCAACACTGGCGCGCGCGACGGCCTGCCAGAGCAGAGAGGAGGCGAGTTGACCTCGATAATAATAATATTTTGTTTTTCGCGTCGGGGTCGCTCCCTGTCCATAGCCGCCTCTCGCGAGTAAACGGCGCTGACGAGTCTGGCGACCCACGCTGATCCCGTATTCGTCATCTGGTTCTGGAGGCACGGTTCTCAATCACCCGCTCGCTCGCTCGCTCGCAGGCTGACTGGCAGCCCGTCTTCATGCACTAATCGTGTCTGAACGTCACGCGCCTCGGTTTTAGTCGTTCTATTTCTAATGGACATTAGCGGCTGCCGACGTGCGCTTGTGCAGAAGCGTTTAAGCAAAAGACGACGCGTCAAGTGCGTGCGTGATGCGTCGCACCTGAAGTCGCGAGCCGCGTCTTCAGGCTCCGGCGGGTGTGGGCCAGTGCTCGTGCTTGCTGGCAGCCCGCAGCTTACGGAAATTCCACAGTCCAATGTGGAAATTCCACATTCCCATTGTGCGAGACAATATCTCTGCAGGACGCTTGGCTTCTCACAGAGTGGTACTCATTTGATCAACTCCAGGCAGATGATGGGCTGAGTCGACCCCCAAGTAGGATTTGAACTCCCAAAATTATCATTGTCATGCCCTTGTTAATCAATCGGTGCTCGCAGATTTGTTCAGGAGGACTGAACATTCATAGGACAGAATCAACCCCTGCTTACAGAGATGCCATTTCCAGAAAATTTCAGCGGAATAATGAATAGCCCTGTCAGTAGAGAATAACAGATATTTTCTCATGGACAATTACCATAGCAAAGTGCCCTTCTAAAAACACGTGAACCCATTGGCCCATTTCACTATTAAAGTGCGGTGGAGAGCAGAGGCACAGCGGTTAGCGCATGGCACCACAGGGAAGGCGACCGGGCTATGATCCCTGTCCATGGGCAGTGTGGCCAGGTGAAAGGTATCTGAACCCGTCTTGGGCATCTAACTCGGTGTGTGAACACAAGGCGCGGTGCTGCCCAAATTGCTGTGCGCCATGCTGCACATGTGCTCGCTCACAGCATCCGCACCTGAGCAGAGTGTCTTTGAGTGTGTGCGTGCATGCGTGTGTGACCAGGGCTGTGTGAATGTACAATCGTCTGTTTCCAGATGCTATAAATAAAGTGGTGGAAGGACAGGTGTGTTTGCGAACAAGACACACTTACAGTGTGTTACTCCGCGCTTCGTACTTGGAAACGAGCAGTGTTATGACAGCACCAGCACATTACAAACAGGATTTACCCGTATACTCCGACATACTCCTACTTGAAAGAACTGCATGTTTACCCTCAAGACCACCATATATTTCCGGCCCTTCCGTTTTTTTTCAAATAAAGTAGCATTCCCCGCAGGTATAGAGAGCGGCACACGACAGATTCCCAATGCACGCCTGGCCTTTTACAGAGCAGAACGATGAGGGGAGCTGAGAGGCCAGGGAGAGGTCACGGACAATGTCATTTTCTGAGCCGTCAAGAAGCTTGAATGACAGCCTGGGCCTGCGATTGGACAAATCTTCTGCAGCCAGAGGCTGGCTTGACCTCATCCACGCAGTCCGTCCACACGTTGCGCAAGAGCATCCGATACTTGCTCGCAGCCCTACTTGCCCTGGCAGAAGTCTCGGATTTAACGCCTCCGTACACCGCCGTCGCCATCCCCTGCAACACAAAAAACGCCCACCTCCTGGGAGACCAGGCCTCTTTGATTCCTGCGTTGGGAATCCCGCTCAGCTTGCCCATTGGTCGATGCTGTGGCGCCAAGCAGCGATGCGGTGCGATGGGGCTCTCCGTGAAGTGACCGGGAGGCACGGTCACCTCGTGTTGGCAGGCACGCACCTGGATAGCGCACTCATCGTGCTTGCGGGCCCTTTAGCCGTAGTGTTGGAGAGCTCCCGAGACATCGAGTGGGCTACACTCGCACATTACAGCAGCGCCAGGTGACCATGTCATCTCCCAACTTCCAAACAAACACATTTGACTGATTAGCAGGCACCTGTGTAAGAGTTTATCAAGCACTGTTTAAGGGCCAGAGAAGATGCCCGTTTTACTTTCTGAAACAACCATGAAAGTATAACCTACTTGTTCATCTGTAAGATTTGATTTTGGATTTATGGCAGTAGCGCATGTGCAAAGTGAAGTGGTTATTTGCCTGCATGGTACTCATCTTTCGTTCATAAATTAGATGAGAGCCAGCTATGACGGTGCTGAGCCAGTGGTGGCCAGCGTGCCCAGCTCTTCTGTTGCCACGGTGAGGTGGCCTGGCCTGTTCACGGGCGGGTTGAGAGCTTCTTGAGCCATCTGAACAGGTCGTCGCACTGTGATCAAAACGCTCGACTCACACAGAGTTGCAAGTTTAAATCCCAGTTGTGAATTGCCTCAGGCCATCTCCTGTATGGGGTCAATAAACTGTGTCGCTTAAAAAACCACATAGCCCACAGTCACGTGGTTCATACGCAATGACTTAGAGAACCGAACCCTGGAAAGACTTCCAATTAAAATTTGTGGTAATAGTTATCTGAATCATAATTATTACATTTTTTGTAAATGTCTTTCTGTCACGAGCAACCCTTGCAGCATTTAGTAACGTACCTGTTGTAGGGTTTATACGAGTCTCAGCATGTGCTTAGAATCAAATACGTTGACCCCTGCAAATTTGTCTGAGAAAAAAAATATAACGACGCCCTCAACAAACCGACGTAAAACGGTTACAACAATACGGTGTTAATTTGGGGCGACCGATTCAGGAAACCAGTTTTGCGTTAAAGCTGACGATGTGTGCGTGAGAAGAGTGCTCGCGGTTTCGTCTCGGAGAGGAGAAGTGAGTCGGGCTCGTAAACGGAGAAACCCTTCCGTGGCGACGTTGGCAGCGCGCGGCACGTGATGCTAACGCGATGAATTATTATCCACATGCGCAGTTTAGTGCTTTGGCTCAACACGTGCATTGTTTTTTCGAACACAAACGAGCCATTTTTTTTTCTGACGGCCAAAGGTTTTGAAAGAATGACTTTGCCTGGGGTCAGTGGACGCAATCCCCCGGCGTCTCAACCCGGTGGGCGGGCGGGCGGGCGGGCGGTTGTTTGCCTGCAGACACGTTCAGTGCGAACGACGGGGCCCAACATTGACACAACGACGACGGTGGTGCCGATAATGGTGGGCGATGATGGTGATAATGAGCTTCCTTGGGTAAGAATTTAATGGGGCACAGCCACATTTTTTAAAAGCCCCTCCTCCCCCATCGCACACGGGCCCCACGCTGCCACTGAGCGCGCTGGAGTGGCCGTGTTTGTGTTGTTTTATGCTGCCGTGGGTGGCGGCTGTGGGAGCGTAAGTGGGGTAGTTTTGTGTCCTTATCCCTGAGAGCTTTGGCGTTAGCCGCTGCCAAACACTTCCTCCCGCTAATGACCGTTCCCCAGCCTGCAGATAACATAATGATGGGCACTCCCACCCACAGGCAATTAAGATAAGCATCAGCTTCTGACGATGGCTTCCCAGCAGCTTAAACCACACATCTCTCCAACTTACCCACCGCTCTGCATGCAGAACTCCGCCAGCGCCATGTCTCTCAACCCTCTCAACCTTCACGTGTCCAGGCCATCTACTGCTGCTGTTGCTGCTGCTCCTGCGAAACAGAATTTTTTTTACTCAGAAGGAACTGCTCAACAATCTCAATGCACAATACTTTTGAAAGCACGTAGTCTAAAGATTACTTTTGTATTATTGAGTCGACTTTCATAATCTTCCGCTATTTTATCTCTTAGTGTAGGAAATGTTCATTCTGCTTTCTTATGACCCATGTCGAATGACCATGAGAGATTCGGCTGTAAGCGATTGAGCCATTCTTTCAACTCTCTCTCTCTGCGAGTTGGTGCACCCTCAGACCAACTTCGCATGTTTACTCGGGGCAGTGCATACTTGAGAGATTAATGTTCATTTTGTATTTCCTTTTGTTTTTATTTACTAATGATCCGCTCTGTTTGGTCAGAGAGGACCTTTACATATGACCAGGTAAGAGCCCCTTTTAAAGGGAGATTTGGGTTTACATAAGAACAGTGAAACAGAAACAATTGTTAATAACAAATACAGAAAGCATAATTTTAAATAATTTTTAACATAACTAAATTTAAATATTAATTACATTTTTACTTCTGAAAGTTACATTCGTAATTAATTGAAATCAAGACTGTGTATATATATAGGATGCTCATGAGCGCGGTGCTGGGCACCATTGTTGCTGCCCAGCGGGGCGAGGGCCGCTGGGCACCTCCCGCTCGCTGCTGGGGGGGGGGCTGCTGCTGCTGCCGGGGGGCTGCTACTGCTGCTGCTGCTGCTGCCGGGGGGCTGCTACTGCTGCTGCTGGGGGGCTGCTGCTGCTGCTGCCCGCTCGCTGCCGGGGGGCTGCTGCTACTGCTGCTGGGGGGCTGCTGCTGCTGCGCTGCCCTCTCGCTGCCGGGGGGCTGCTGCTACTGCTGCTGCTGCCCTCTCGCTGCCGGGGGGCTGCTGCTACTGCTGCTGCTGCTGCCCTCTCGCTGCCGGGGGGCTGCTGCTACTGCTGCTGCTGCCCTCTCGCTGCCGGGGGGCTGCTGCTGCTGCTGCTGCCCTCTCGCTGCCGGGGGGCTGCTGCTACTGCTGCTGCTGCCCTCTCGCTGCCGGGGGGCTGCTGCTACTGCTGCTGCTGCCCGCTCGCTGCCGGGGGGCTGCTGCTGCTGCTGCTGCCCTCTCGCTGCCGGGGGGCTGCTGCTACTGCTGCTGCTGCTGCCCTCTCGCTGCCGGGGGGCTGCTGCTACTGCTGCTGCTGCCCTCTCGCTGCCGGGGGGCTGCTGCTACTGCTGCTGCTGCTGCCCTCTCGCTGCCGGGGGGCTGCTGCTGCTGCTGCCCGCTCGCTCCGCGACGCCGCACCGCGCGCACGGCCGCTGGGGCGAGCAGCGTCGAGTTTCAGGCGCGCCGCCTCCCAGCCGCCCATTAAAGCGCCGGCCGCGGTGGCGAGCATATGGTGTCCCTGGAACATTTTGAAAAACGGGTCCGTGACAGAGGAGATGCTGTGCTCGGCTCGCTGCGGGGCTGTCACGGGGGGGGGGGGGGGGGGGGGGGGGCTCTGTGCTTTATTCGGGCCGACGCAAAGTGCAGAGCGGCGCAAGCCAAATTCCGGCCTGGCTCGCGAACGGATTCTCCTTCTCCCCACCTGAAAGAGGCCTCCGTGAAAGCCGCCTTTGTGGCGCTGCATTGTTCAAGGTGTAACCCGAGAGAGGCCGGCCGCTCCCCCTTCGCGTTTCCCTCGGCCGAGACGGGCCCTGCGCAGCACGTGTAGACGTGTAAACGTCACCATGGAGACATTTCGTGAAGGGACAGAAAAAAAGAGGCGGTCGCAGAGAGGAAAAAAACAGCAGCGGTGGGAAGTAAATTGCTGCGGCTGCCGGTCTCCTTACCTGGATGCACATAAGCTGCCCCTTTGTTCCCATTTGTTTTTAAACCTGGGCCCTCCTACATCGGACGCCGAATTGCACCCGCGGCAAAATGGCAAACTCTCGTCATGTCACTCACTCACGATGGTGGTGGTGGTGTTGGTGTTTAGCCTCCTCCACAAGTGGACACGAACACCGCACTGGCAGAGAAGAGGAAACGATGATTCTGCCTCGCTGTCACAAAGCGTCACGTTAAACGATGGCGTAGATCGTTACGTTATTTAAGCTCTTAAACGAATGCCACATATTATAATGATAATTATTATGATGGATATGTCTTGGTCATTGTGTTAAACAAAAAGTATTCGATGTGACCAAAAATGCGAAATTATATGATTTAGAATGACCACATTGGCACAGCTGTTAATGTTACTCATAATGTGACGTCTGTTTGAAAACCTGATGGCTACCGACGTGAGCGATGAGTAAAGCGGGTTTGTCTCGATCGGTGGCTTCTGACCCGTGGCCACTGGTGGTTGGCAGGGCCGTGGGAAGTCGTCCAAATAACTCTCGCAACTTCGATTTGTTTCCACAAAGCACCAGGTTTTGACTGCGTGCTACTCCGCAAACAATGTTGACGGTGACAGTGGCGCACGGGTCCAGCGAGGCCTCTCCGCTCAAGCTGCCGCGATCCGTCACGACGTGGCGTGCGTCTACGATGCCGTGCTGGGTGCTCACTCGGACACACGCCGGCTCGAGACAAGGTCCGCAAACAGAAGACGCCGGCACTTACAATGGTCAAAGAGTGCTTTTTCACTTTTCGGACACAGCTGAATATTTCAAAGTCACGGCGGGAATTTTGGCCAACTTTTTGTTTTATCAGAAGAAGAGAAAAAACGTCCGTAAGCAATGCGCACACAGGCAAGAGCCGTCAACCCACGGAACGTCTCGCTCCCAGTTCGTTTCGCTCGGCTGGTGAGAAGCGCCTCAAAGTCGGCACTCTCTCTCCCTTCTCTCTCTCCCTCTCGTTCTTTCTCAAAAAGCCACGTTTCGGAGGATTGAGTTACCCTTTTGCTTTAGCCAGTAAGAATTTTTTTAATGCCTAAAACTCCCCTCCCCCTTTGTTGTGGGTCCTCTCCAGAGTTGCTTTGCTGTTCCTTCTTGTTTGTTTTTTTAAAACTCCTTTAAAAAAAAACCTCTCTCAACATGACTGGTTTACAAAAATGCTGATTTTGTTTAAAGAGAGCACTTCAAAGCTCCGGCTTCTGGTGGCCCCGGCGAGGCCGCTCGCTGCGACGCCTGGGCGCAGAAATCCGCGTTGCTCCGTACAACAAGCCGCTCCGTACAACAAGCCGCTCCGTACAAGCCGCCGTGCCGATTTTGTCGTTGCCTCGCTCCTTCGCTTAATAAATGACACGCGCTTAAATCGGATTGTGGAAGAGCAACATTTCATTATTTTCTGCTGACACGACGACACGGCTTCCAGGAGGAAACGCGGCCCCCACGTCTGCTGAGCCATGTGACCACGAAGCACCGGAGGGAGAGACGTGGCCTGGGGCAGATCCCTTCACCTGGGTGCCGCTCCTCCACCTTCCGCTGGGGGCCCTGCTGGGGACCTGATGGCCTTCCATTCCACAGAAAATCACGGACTCGTCCACACGAGTTGCTCACAGCTGAAACTCTCAGGGTAACCGGCCCCCTGTAAGAGGAAAATGGCTCGCCACCGTAAACGAAGATAATTACCACCCAATGGTTGTGAGCAAAGAAACATGTTGGCTTGTTAAAGCCACTTTTGTGAAGATTAAGTGTGGGTCACAGTGTAAGGGGGGAGTGGTGGCGTAAAAGTGTTTAGTGCTGTGCACTATGAACCTGGAAACTTGAGTTTAATTCCTGGCCATGGCTAACATTAGTGGTGAGTAACATCTCAATTCAGTCCTCAGTCATCCCTTCACCAACCCACACTAACCGGTGTGGTGAAGGAAGGTCAAACAACCCCAAGGACTGTAAGTAGGCCCTCACTCAGCAGTGGCTGCACATTACAGTTCGTGCGTACACACATGAATACGCACATCCACTTATGAAACCACTACAAGCATTCACAAGTTTTCATTTGTGCTGGAGAAGGACTGACCCCCACCATAGGAGGGTGGAATTTACATCACTTGTTCAGGGCCACAAACAGAGGTGGGTACCATGGTGCCACGGTGGCGAGATGTTATCTCCATCGCCGGTATGCAGGAGGTCGTGGGTTCGATCCTGACGCCTGTATATTTGGAGTTTGCGTGTTCTCCACGTGGTCGCGTAGATTTTTATCCGGGTCCTCTGGGTTTTCCCTCCACATTTAGAAACGCGCGTTTAGAGTATTTGGCTGCAAAACATTTCCACGTGATGATAAGCCACTTCGTTGAGCTATCAATCGTGGCCAGGCCGCTTCTCAAAGAGGGCTATATAGCTCAGTGGGCCTTACCTAGTAAAATACTTTTTTTTATTTCCTTAATATTTCAGTCCAGAATGGAGCCACTGTTGTTATATGAGTGTTAAATAAAATATTTGCCACTGATTATTTTTATATTTGTCTCACTAACATCTGAACATACTATATATCCATGTATTTGGTACATTGTTAACGATTTGAAGATACTAGTGATGGGAATTAAATTGAGGTCCATGGCATATTGTGATGACAACAACAGGAGCCCAAATCCACCAACAGCCCTCAATAGGTTCCAGCATCCTCGCCAATGTCAGGCGTAATGTGGAACATTCTCATCGTTGTTGACAAAACATACAATCTCTTGCAATAAAAAACATATGCTTTATCTGAAAACACAGTTACATTAATAGTTTAACATGTTTTGGGGAAGTAAAAATCCATCAAAGATAATCCTTAATATAAAGAAGTGCGCAATGCCAACCGCGATTATCATTTGCAGCATCTGCGGAGAGAGATTATGTTCAGGAACCAGAGGCGCATTTCTATTGTCGCGAGTCCACGGTGCTGTGAGTGAGTGGGGTTTAATGCCCACTCCGTGGCAGCCTCTCTTGTTTTTCCACACAAGTGCAATTTTGCCACCTCGGTGTTTGTCAATGAGGCAATGAGGAGTGCGCCGTCGGTAGCTCCTCCAAGGGTCCTCTTGATAAGCACTGAGTGGCTCCAAGTGCCGCCGCCGCCGCTGCCGCTGCCGTGGACGCTTACGCAGCCACTCGTGACTACGATTGCTCCGGGAGGCTGCTGCTGTTGCATCGCCAGGAGGAATCTTAGAGACGGTGGGGGGGGAGGGGGGGCTGCCCTGTCTTGCAATGCATATTCATGCGCAAACGCCATGTAAGGAAGCCAGTGGGAGGCCCTTCGCCGAGCGATGCCAGGGTCGTCCGCCACACCCTCCTCTCGCCCTCCCGGCCGGCACTTCCAGTGTGGAAAGAATGGCATGAGGCTTGAAGTTCGTGAGAGACGCGTTGACGCTGCAGAGCATCCGAATACCGCATCTGGCGTGCGCGCGGGCCGACCTGAAATCCGCGGCAGGCTACTCGTGGTGTCGCCGTCTTTGGTGAAGGGTGAAAACCAACGAGTAGGAATACGTGGTGCATCTCGGTGATTTCTGCCACCCGCGGTGAAAAAAGAAGGAGCAAGAAATACCTGCAGTGCGGTGCCGTCGCCCACGTAAGTGAGAGCCCCCTCGGCCGCCTCTGCTTGACGGCTTCGCGTTCTGTCCCTTTGTAGGTGTATGCTCGCTGCCTTGCTGGTGGTGCTGGTGCCAGTCTGGTCATTGGCCAAACTAAATTATTTACGTTCGTGCGCGCGGTCTTGTAACGAATAGCCCACTGGCTTCTGGCCACACGCAGATGAAATTTCATATGGCTAAAAAAAAATGTTCAGAAAACGAGGGCCCCTCTGGTTTGTCTAGAAAGCTCCAGTGTCTGTTGACGCACGAGTCGGCGCTCCGTCTCGCTGGACACCGCTGCAATGGACTGTCTGAGCGTCACTTTGATGGCTCTCGCAGGATCGTCACGGCCTCGTTTGATATTCTAATGGTTAAAATAGAATGCAAAACACAAGCATCCCAGTCAAAGATGAAAGGCATTATGCATTCGTTGTTACGTCTCTCTTTTTTCATGTTACAACCTGAAATAGAGCTATTTAGCGAACCAGTTTAATACCTTTAATACCGTAGGGTTGTTTTCATTTGTCTAATGCATTTGCGTGCACAATCGATCATTACATAATCTCGTTATGTCTTCACTACATTCAAATGTATATGTTTTATTTAAATGTGTTGGTTACATTTGGATACACATTTTATTTGGAAATGAAAGTGAGGTTTTTCCGTTGTGTTTATTTTAATTTTGGGAATTTCTATGGCTGCTGTAATCAATCATTTCGTGGCTGTCAATGTTCATGCCTTTTTGACCTTGCCAAAGGTGCTTGCAACAAACACAGAGAGATGCGAGTTTCCCCTTCAGTGCAGATAATGCAAGACGCGTAGTCACGAGAATTATCAAGGAGTTGAGTCTACACTATCGTTAGACCATTGGATGTTTTCGTTGCTTTTGCTGTAAACAAATTGAAAAACTAAAAAAATATTTATGTCCCTATAATAATCATGTTTGTTTTATTGGTGTTATAATTCTACGAGTGTAGTTAATATTAGGATTTGTATACAAAAATACAGAGAATTTTTTTAAAATAAGATTTTAAGAAATATAAATGTTTCAATTGAAATTTAAATATTTTTAAGTTCATAAAATGTATATAAGGAAAAAGCAATTTTGTACGATTACATTTGACATCTCAAAATCAACTTCGTACAAAACCTTCCATACCGATGCAGTTTAGTTTAATTGTGGGGAGACATGGGAATGATTGTACAGTACTTCGAATGTTTATTTATTTTAAATGCCTTTCACTATTCTTATACACTGCATTTTATAGGTGTGTGAAATATTTTTAATAGTTTTATTTACATTATTAAAAAATATAATTATCTTAAAAATCTAATTATTATACATCCACACCAACGAGAGAGCGTAGAGAGTATTTTCATCAACTCTTTGGTTATTTCGGTAAAGTCACATATAAATAAATTAAATAATAATATAACACGACGTTTCGATTGCAACACAAGCAACCATCATCAGATACAAATGAATGAGAAAACAAACGTAGTAAACTTTGAAATATAATGCAATACAACGCTGAGAATCGGCCAACACAAAAGTCAACACCCCACCTGGTTGATTACGTTCTTCCAAAGATTGCTAAATTTGAGAGAGAGACAAAACATAGACACGGAGACACACAGAACAGACACACAAGCAGAGAGCGACTCACACAGAGACAAACAGAGAGAGACACACACATAGGCACACAACTTGGAGATTATTCGTGTTATATATTACAGCAATTAATTTTGTGGAACATTTAAATTTTGCTAAAATAATTAACATTTGTATTCATGCTCCTTGGAAAGGCAATACTCACAAAAATTCTCACCCAATTACGTGCTTGCTCAAACACGTTATTGCATTGAAACTGCAACAGACGCCGTAGTTGTTAACGGAAGGAGCATTGTTTTGTCTGGCTCTCCTCTGCACTGCCGCATGCCGCTGCACTTCAGTCAATATTACGCCGGAACGAATTGCCATTCTCTGTGGAGTAACAGAGCATTCATCGACAAATATAGTTTTGAATATTTACTCCCCGTTTAGTATTTAATACATTCATTGAGCATCAATCTTTAGCGACTCCAGGGTGCATCTTCGGCATCTCTCTCTGCGTGCTTCCCCCATTGATTAATTTGCGGTAATTATCCACACACCTATTTGCGTGCGTATTTGAGCGCCGACTTATCGGCGTATTTATTTAGTTGCAATTCGCTTGGGCTCTTTACTCCTCGGCCGCACGGAGTAAATTGGAGCCGGGCCTGCTGGTTTGCCGAGGACATTAGGGGCACGACGGTTGACAGCGGTGTGGCATTGTTGTGGGAGACCTCGGCTAAGTTGGTCCCAGCGGAAGGGAACGCGACTTGTTTATCCATGGCCCCCGAGGCTGCTGAGCGGCGTTAGCGGATTAGGCAGATCGGAAAAGCCAACAGCGGCCAGCGCGGCGGTGGTGGTGGTGGTGGCGGCTAATCGCGTTCCACGTGCGCCATCGCCGGGGCTGCCGCCGCAGCGCCGTGCCCCCACGGGCGCAGCGGCGCTCCTCGCGAGACGCGCCGCGTGAATCGCGCGGCTCGGGGCTGCGCGTCGCGCTCCGCTGCCATTCTAGAGCCTCGCGTGTCGCTCTCACCGCGGAGACGCGTGTCGCACGAGAGCCAAGCCGGTGGTAGTAGGCGGTGGTCGTAACGCGCACCACTCACACACCGCTCGGACATGGGGGAGTGGGTCGTGCACAGTTTTCTATCAATTTGAGTGTCACACTGTGTGGCAGGAAAATTAATAGTTTACTGATAATGGGGTTGGTTTATTTTTAGCACAAGACATGAAGCAATTACATATATTAATGCAACTTTGGGTCATACGTTTTGGGGGCTTAAATACATAAAATGTGCGTTGTGTATGTTTCTACTTACAAGCGGTGACGGCACAGTGGTTAACCCGGCAGGCCGAGTTCAATCCCCGGCCATGGCGAACATCGCTGGCGCGTGTTATCGGTGTGGCGTGACACCTCTGAACCGGTCTGCCCCCACTTCCCCTCAACCACTCACACTGACCAGCGTGGTGAAGTATGGTCATAAGTTATCATGGCCGACAGTGGGTTACCTTCATCAAACGGCTGAAAATTCTTATCGCGTCCCAAGATATACGTGACTATAAGTGTGTCAAATGTCAGCTTCCTAGCCCATTTGTACAATTATTAGAGTGTACATCAGTCTCTCATTAATCATGATAATTACCCATGTTCTATCCACTTCTGACTGAAGCCTTCCTCTTGTCATGATCATCCCTCACACTCATCTCATTCCTGCACGTGGCTAATCTCACCGCTGTTCTCTCTGCGGTGGTCTTCCTCTCAGGCACGTGTTGAGTTTGTTGTCCTTCCCCTGCACATTCGATTAGCACGGTTTGCTACGTGCGGTACGAAAGAAGTTCAACATGCACACTCCTCCTTTGTCATTCCATAACCAGCCTTGTCCTTCAGCCATGATGTCTTTGAGTGATGTCTTGCCCAAAGCCCACTTACTTTATCTTGACAGTCAATCTGATGTCCATGTGAATCCTGATGGTTTACAATCAGCCACGATCGCTCATTATTGCCTATGGACATCAGCTGCAATGTGTGTAACGAGATCAACGCTGGTGTGAAGCGACAAACTCGCTGACTGAAGGCTTTTCGCTAAATCTGTCATCTCCTCATTGAATTTTAGGTAAAATGCAACGACTCTTGTGTCCCTCTGTCTGCACACAACAACAACTGCTGCTGTTGGAGCGGTGTGGGGCTGCTTGCACGCAGCGACGCGGGCTGCTGCTGGGTCGGCAGTGCTGCGTCATTCACTCACGAGGATTGTTTACACTTCGCATTGGCTGCACGGCATCGTTATCAGCAGCAATGGTTCGATATTCAAGCAAACGTTGGAGCGGGTTCAACATCCAGCGTCTCATCAGCATAGTCAGCCTTGCTTGGACTCGTGTTGGACTGCCCAATGTTAGTAGGCAAATACCCTTTCTGTCAAGACTGAATCTGAGTTCTGTTCACGTTACTCTGGCGCCTTGTGCCGCTCTCTCAAACAAAAGTCCTGGTGTGCAGCTGGACTACTATTCACTCAGCCAAGTGAATGCACACAGCGATCAAGTGGAAACCAACGAAATTTGCAGCCTTGAGAAGTGCAGTTGTGCCCTGTCAATTGAAGCAAGGTGCAGGTAGCTGTGGATAGGGACTCGAATTCAGGCGTAATTCTTATCACCTGCCCACCTTTGTTTGCAAGCCTATCGTACAAATGTAAACACAACACTTCAGGCTCCCAACCATCCACTCATTCCCACAGAAACCTCCCCCCACCTATCCCTCCCATCTCCCAACAAGAGGCAGTCAAAGTGGTTTGAGATTAAGATAAAGTATTTCACCTAAGCACAGAACCATTCGCTGGTTTTAAACCTCGCTATCATTGTTAGCTAGTGAATTATCACATTACATTAACAATGATCACATCTCTCTACTATTAAGAAGGGTCGTTGCTCAAAACGTAACTTATTATATATCGTTCCCTTTTTAGGGCAGTATTATTGAGCAAAGTGTCGTGTTTTGTTATTCAACATTAGGAGACTTAAAAAAACCTCGATATCGCGTTGGTGATGCTTTCCGTCACCGTTTTCTAAGCGCACATCATCTTCTGCGTGCCTGCATCTGCCTATCCACCTCCTGAAGAAGGCCAGCCAGCCTCAACACCACGTTTTTATTTTCGGCATGAGAAAAAATATTGTTATTATGACTATTTATGAGGTATTATTTACGTCATATTTTACCATGATTATTGTATACTGAAGAGTATTTGAAACTAGGCATGATGACGAGGAAAACAAGATAACCCGATATATACAGTATTAATGTACCCTTTTCATATAATACATACACAATGTTGCTCGAGTGTTTCCGTCCGTACAATTACGTGCCATTTAATTCTGGATCATTTTTGATGACGTGCAATAATTAAACAACACTACTGC